CAAACAACAGTCAACAAGCAAAATCATCAACTGATGGGAACACAACGACTGCACAGCAACAACAACAATCCAAGCCTTCCAAGGCATCGCAAGACAAAACAAATTATGGGTAGCACAACACCAAGGCCACTGGCGAGACACGTCATTTAGGTCTAGCTCGAGAGATATTTTCATTTTGTGCGAACGTAACTTATTATTTGCCTCATGGGCTGAGCAGAAATATTGTGAACAAAAGCCCACTGCACAATAGGGAGAAAATAATCTGTCACTATCTACCAAACAGCAAGTAGTCCCGCTTTTTAATAAGCCTATCATCGATTGTTTTACCCTGGCCATGTTGTTTTTGAGGAAGCAAAGTTGGACCTAACTCTTCAGCCAATTGGTCATCAGGCCCACTTACCCACTTTGAAAGTTGTGATATTAACTCGCTCACTTTTTATAGTTGGGTAATTTGAGAATTAGGTATTCTTTTTGCACTTTTGCCTTTTTCTTTTTTGGGTAAAGTACAAAGATTCCTCTTTAGGTTTGGGGTAAGGACAAGGAGAGGAAAGTTTGCCTATTTTGGGACAAAGACACCCCCTGAAATTTGATAGAGCTACCAAAGACACCCCAATGATAATGAATTAACATTTTTAACCATCTGACTTTTATATTGACCAAATTGACTGTTGAAATGACCTTTCTACCCTCAAACCCATATCCATTTCTTTCCTTCTCTCCTCTCTGTGCTCTTCCTCCTCTTACTTGAAGTTATTTTTGGACAACAAATACCTTCAAGTACGTACGTAGGTGACTACTTGAAGGCACTTGTCAAATAAATATTCCTGTCTTTCCAATCTACAATAAGGTCTTGTTTTACCTTTAAAAAATAAAATAAGATAAAATAAGGTATTGTTTTAATTTTTAATATTTGAAATAAGCATAAATTAGCATAAAAGCGGTACAGTTTTATTTTAAATGTATACCATTTATTTGGTTTAATTTTCTGAAAATAATTTCTATTTTAAAAGAATAAAAAATAATACAGAATTTGTTTTATTGATAATATTTTAAAAACTCAATTAAAAAAAAACCCTTAACCAAATAGGTCATAATTGATCAGTACTCTTTTTAAAAAAGGGTGAAAAAAAAAAAATCTAATAAAATATTAGAATGCAAATAACATGAATACATTAATTAATGAATAAAGCATGCAACTGTTTCTTAACCTATAAAAAAAGAAGGTGGGGATTTCATTATTTAATACATTTGGAAAATAGAACTCCTTTATTGCAATGGTAATTTACAATCACAAACTTTATGAACTCCTTTATTGCAAAATAGAGAGCTTGCTTCCTATATTAGGAGAGATGTATTCTCATATTGAGTTTATTTAGAGAGAGAAATCTGCCTTTAGAGAGAGAAAGGAGGAGAGAGAGATGAAGCTTTGGAGTTTGGTTTTCTTGGTTCTTTTCTTGGGGATATTTCTCCAAGTAGAAGCAGAGGATGGGTTCATTGGAAGCAGAGGAGTACAACTTATGTTGAATGGTAGTCCTTACTATGCAAATGGGTTCAATGCATATTGGTTTCCTGGTGGTTCCTTTTTTTTTTTTTTTTGAAACCCGTGGTCCACCAAAAGTTTGCAAAGATATGAACTAAGAGTGTGAGTGTGCAATGTGACCAAGTTTTAAATTTATAAAAGCCACTAGTACCTCTAACTAAAATATAGCTAGGGTAAGTAGGGATCGTCCCAAGGGATTGGTGGGTCGTGTTACTATGGAAACAAGATTAGGGTTAGTAGGTCGAGTGATAAAAATGTGGTTGGTTTGATTGATTAAATTACAATTAAGACTAAACAAGCTTAATATAAAACAAGTAATTAAACGATAGAGAAAACAAGAGAGAGAGGTCTTGGGACTTAGAGGTCACCACTAAGCATCACCTTTCTATACACTCAATTCATAATTAATGAGGGGGAAAACATATGTTGCAACAATAGTGAGTGTGTGTGGTTGTTTCAACAAGCATGGATGACCAATTAAGAATATATTGTCTAAACAACACAATGAATAGTACAATATATCAAACTAAGCCATTAATCCTTCTTTTAAGCTCACAATCTAAACACATCACGTGATTAGAGGAATATACTACTTGCATTCATAAATATGAAACATCAAACAACAAGCATGTATTGTCCTCCCATTTAACAACTAAAGTAACTACACTATATCTAAGCTAATGACATGAAAATTAAACTAATTAAACTAAGGGAGAGGCACAATCCATCAAGAAATGAGTATGAACCATCAAATAAATCACAGGAGCATTCTATTAAGCACTATGTCTTGACAATCTCTAGATCTATAGCATTAACACACTTAGACATGCATCAACAACACAATAGCTAGAGATAAACACATAAACATCTATTCTAGCATACATAGACATATGGATAGAATGAAATGATCAATTGGAAGAATTAAACCACACAAATCATTGAATAAACAAGATCTATGTATATAAAAATGTCAAAACATGTATTACAATACAAATCCCCTCAAAAATACATAAATCAAGGTAAAGAAAGCATGCTTAGGGCTAACTCTAGCCCCAAGAGGATGTCTAGCCACTTATGAATGGTGTCCTCCAACTCTCAAGGGCTATCTCCATAGTAGAAATGCTCTTCTTCTTGAGGTAGATGGAAAACTTCCCAAGAATGTGTCTCTGGCCTCCTTTTCTCTTTTTCTTCCTCTCTAAGAATATCAAAATGTTGTATCTAAAACATTAAAGCATCTCCTCTTGCAAAAGTGGCTCATAATCCTTATATAGGTAACTCAAATGTCACACCCAATGGTCTAGGCTCGTACACAAGGGCTCCTCTAATGATTGCACCATGAGACAACTTTCAATGAGCTGGAAATTAATTTAATTCGCACTTGAGAGGGTTCGATCGATCGAACCTGTGCTGAGATCGATCGAACTTGGCTGAGATTTATCAAACTTTGGCTGGATCGATCCTCCCATGGCGACGCCTTTTTGGATAAAGACAAATCTGAGATATTTTTGAGATATTTTGGGAAAGAGACAAAAGTGGTAGGTGGGGTGGTACAACATGATAAGATGGAATCTTTTCGATCGATCTGATAAATGTTGGATCGATCGAATATTGTTGGATCTTTGGATAAGGACAAAAGAGCTTAGATCCATCTTGGAGTGCAGAGATCGATCTATGTCAGATCGATCGAAGGAATTCTCTGATCGATCGAACTTTGCTGAACTTCCATCACTTGCTTCATTTTGCTTCCACTTTGCTCATTTCTTTCATTCATCTCAAGATTGCTTCAATTATACTCTTATTTGGCTGAATTAGCTTATTTTGGGGATAAGTGCCTGAAAACGGAAATAACATGAAATCAATCTAAAGCGAGAAAATAAGATAGATAAATGTCCTAGAATACCTAAGCTTAACGGGTTTAAATGTGCACTTTTCAGCGCTTATCATTACCCACGTACGTACTTGAAGGTATTTGTTGTCCAAAATACCTTCAAGTAAGAGGAGGAAAAGAATAGGGAGGAGAAAAGGAAAGAAATGGGTATGAATTTGAGGGTAGAAAGGTCAATTCAACAGTCAATTTAATCAATATAAAAGTCAGAGGGTTAAAAATGTCAATTCATTATCATTGGGGTGTTTTTGATAGCTTTATCAAATCTCAAGGGGTGTCTTTGTCTCAAAATAGACAAACTTTCATTTCTTTATCCTTATCTCAAACCTTAATGTTACGTTTGGTGTGCATGAATGGAATGGAATGGAATGCTCATTCCAACCATTCAGTTGTTTGGTGTGAAGGAATGGAATGGAATGACCATTCCGAAGGAATGAAAATTCATTCCAGGGAATGAAAATCCATTCTATTAGTAAACCTATGGAATGGCCATTCCATTCCATAGTAAGATAAAATATTTTTGTAATATTCCCAATTAGCCATTCATCACATTCCAATAAGGCAAAAATATTTCACATTCATCAAAAATCTTTCACATTCCATTTTTCATGTTTATGGCCTTCTTTATTAGACATGGTAACTGTCTTTCATCTTCCCTCTCTTCTAAATATACCCAGAGCTGCCATTGACAAAAAAGTTACAGGACTTTCAACCAAATTACAAGTATTAATTTCTTTTTTTATTTATTTTTGATAGGTAGGTATTAAATCTCTTCTGAATATATCACTTTTTTATTTTTGTTTTTATTTTTTTGTATCTTTGTGTTGAAACACTTGTGTAATCATCTGGAACCAAAAGTGGACTAGTTTGACTTTTGGACCCTTAGTCAAGTTCATCGTTGGATGATTGGAGAACAAAAGAAATTACACAAAGAAATTACACAAGTACTTGGAAATATTACCAGGTTTTTTGTTGGGTTGATGATTTATTTATTTCCTTAACTTTATTTGAGTTGATCTTATGGTGCACGATTTTTTTTATATTATTAAGATTGATATATCATTACATATATATATATATATATATATATATATATATATTATTTTTTAGCCTTTACATCAATTTCTTAGATTAAATATTTAATCATGGTGAGTTGGTTTAGTTATAATTTTTTTATTTTTCTTTCCTCCAATGAAAAAGGCATTTTTGAGAAAAGGCATTCCCTTCCAGATTTAATGATAGTCAATCAAATAATAAAATGGTAATAATCATTCCATTCTATAACGATTCACCATATCACCAAACATTAGAATGGTAATACTCATTCCATTCCAAATTTCCATTCCATTCCATTTCATTTCATTTCATTCATGCATACCAAACGTAGCATAAGAGTTGTCTATGTATTTTACCTTTAATTTTTTTTTTTTACTTAGCAGTATCCAAGTCTATCATAGTTGGACAACACAGATGGATATAATTCACGTGCGTACCAAATCTATAGGAGCTTGAATGGTTGTCACTGGTCAGTGTAAAAGACCAGGCACCACTTGTTGGAACTCGGAACTGAGTGTAAGAAAATTCCAATTAAGATTTAGGAAACACCCCATTAGCTTACATATACATTGGTCTGTTTGGTGTTCCAAGTCAGGCGCACAAGTCTTCTCTTTAAACAGTCAATATCCACTCTCACTAAAAACCACAAACAACAGCAGCAACAATGCCAAAATATACAGAGAGTCACACATTGTAAATTCGAATATATCGATCGACCATGGCTTCGATTTAGTCCTTCATTATGACCCACCACTCTTCCGCCTCCGCCACGGCCACCCCCACCCCCACCTCCGACATTAGCCACAAATCTCACTCATCACCACCCATGAGTGAGCAAACCCAAACCCAAACCCAAACCCAAACCCAAACAGAAGCACAAACAGAAACAGAAACAAAAACAAAGACCGAGTTTGAGACTCAGACCCAGCCCGAGACGACAACCACCACCACCACAACCGCGGACTTAGCCTCCACCACTACCATCGCCGACATAGCCAATGCTCCGCCCCAAAAGCCCCCTCCCTCTGCCAAAATCCCCTTCCGCCCACGGAAGATCCGAAAGGTCTCTCCCGACACCACCGATGATGGCAAATCCCCAAAAAAAGACGCCTCGCAAACCCCCAAAACCACAAACACCACCACTAGAGCCTCCAAGAACAAGATTGTCCCTCCACAACCCAAACCCAACCGAACAATCGTCGCGAAATCGCTGTCCTGCGAAGGCGAAATAGAAATCGCACTCCGACACCTCCGAATCGCCGATCCATTACTCGCTCCTTTGATCGATCACCATCACCCTCCCACATTCGATTCCTTCCACGCCCCGTTTCTTGCCCTAACCAAAAGCATTCTCTATCAGCAACTCGCGTACAAGGCCGGTACCTCAATCTACACTCGCTTCGTCTCTCTCTGTGGTGGCGAGGCAGGCGTTATGCCCGATACCGTTCTTGCCCTAACCCCTCACCAACTCCGGCAAATCGGTGTTTCGGGGCGAAAAGCTAGTTACCTCCATGACCTTTCAAGGAAGTACCAGAATGGAATTCTATCCGATTCAGCTATTGTGGAAATGGATGATAAGTCACTTTTTACAATGCTCACTATGGTCAATGGTATTGGTTCTTGGTCGGTTCATATGTTTATGATTTTTTCTCTCCACAGACCGGATGTTCTTCCGGTGAATGACCTCGGTGTTCGCAAAGGCGTTCAGCTTCTCTACAGCCTTGACGAGTTGCCTCGGCCTTCTCAGATGGAGCAATTGTGTGAGAAGTGGAGGCCGTATCGGTCTGTTGGCTCGTGGTATATGTGGAGGTTTGTGGAAAACAAGGGGGCACCTTCGAGTGCAGCAGCTGTGGCAGTGACTAGTGCTAGTTTACTGCAGCAACAGCAGGAGCAGCAACAACAACAACATCAACAGCAGCAGCAGTTTCTGGATCCTATAAATGGCATACTTAATCTCGGGTACTACTCATTACACTTCAATTCCCACTTACTTTGTCATCTGAAGCATGTGGTTTTTAAGTGATTCTATCACCTTCTCCTATTGTATTAGCTCCTCATTATTCATGTCTTTATATTTAATTATGTAGATTGTTCACTTTTTGGTGTTTTGTTCATTCTAATTCCGTGTTATATTTGAGATTTTAAAGAATTGAAAAATCTGTTGCTTGATTTGCAACTTGTATTAGGGGTCTAACTTAGGTTATAAGGCAGTAAACAATGCATTGCAAAAGATCGAACTTATATTTGATTTGTGAAACTAATAGTTCACAAACAAATTTCAGTACTTCCCATGGTAATTAATGTTTTAGCTAAATGGGTAAATTACCACTTTTGTTATAATTAGGAAAACATTGCATAAGAAGAAAGCATTATTTAGTGAGAGTATTCCCTTATGTACAATATTTGGTGTGGCGACCATTCGTTGCCGGCGTGAACCTTACCTAAACTCTACCAGATTGCTTTTGATGGACATGCCTTGGGATGTGTGCTTTTTGAGATATTTTCATGATTGGGAATGGAGGATGCCATTGGGTTCTTGGAGTTGCTGTATTTTGCTAGGAGGTGGATGGTGGAGGGCCTGATTCCCAAGTCTAGGGAGGTTCGATGTTCGCTCTTTCTATAGGAGCCTTTCGGACGCTCAGGGTCTGCTTTCCTATGGAAAGTGGTGTTGCTTGGACTGCAGTTTTAGGGAGGATTATAATGTTGGATAACCTGAGGAGGAGGATATAGGCTGTGACGTCCCAATTTTTCACAAACCCGAATAGTTAATGTGATCCAAAAGTTGACCCGATAACGGATCCGAATGCGGAAGCGGAAAAAAAAAAAAAACAAGGTTCCTAGGGATAAACGGCATCCCAAGAACGCTAGAGTAACTTTCTATGAAGTCACGGAGTTCAAAAGAAAACAAAATGGAGAAGCGATAATTTAAAAATAGGGATAATTTTGGCCCTAGGGGTAAAACGGTAATTTTCAGAAAGTTATGGGTGTTACCGAGTATACCATTGGATAGACGGCGAAAAATTAACGAAGATAGACTCAAAAATCACTTGATTCGGAGTCCGGATGGAGGAGAAAAACCAAAAACAAAAATGGGCGTCGTCGCGGCCGAGGGGGCACCAGGCGCGCGCGGCCAAGGCTGCTGACACCTGGGCACTGACACTGAAAATGCCGAGAACCGAGTGTGATTTGGACCCCAAAACGACCTTTTTTGAAAAACCATGAAGAAGAAACCTCCCTTAAAATAATTTTTCCAAGCTGACATGTCGAAAGAAAAATTTATTTTTGACCTGAAATGCTCAAAATACTCCTGAGATTAGTTTTGACGAAAAATGCTAAAATGCAAGTTTTCTTCAAGTGTTCAAATGACCAAATATGAAATTCTGTGCTAAAACGATTGTGCACGCAAACGTAATAAGGGTTTTAAAACATGCGGGATTGGTTCGTGACCCCGAAATATGCCCAATGCAAAATCTGACCCATTAAACCTAAAAAATGCATAAAAATGAAAAGTTTGAAGCCTACCATCAACCATAATATGCAATCATGATATTTTGTGCAAAGTAAACATTCTCGCAAACGTAATATACATAATAAAATGCGTCCCAATGGTCCATGACCTCAAAATACACCATATGCAAAATATGACATGTCTAAACCCCAAAAATCATGAAAAATGGCCTTTTAAAGCAAATTTTGAAGTTAATCATCATAGATGCATTCAAAGAACCGTTTGACCCTTGACCACATGTCACATATAATAAAAGAGTACTAGGAAAAGTGATAAAACACAATTCCCACCATCCAAACTGAAATTTACATGCTAAAGCTTTGCATTTTCCAATTTTTCTCATTTTTAAACATAATGTCAAATAGCATAAAAATGAAGCATGAGGTTCTTGGCCCTTGGCCTCATCACATACATGGCAAATAGGTTTCAAAGGATACATTTAGGTACTTATTACATATCCTAAATAGAAGCTACAAGTTTTGACATATTTAACCCAAAATAAAACAAAATTCATGCTAGTAAGTGCATGATAGGAAATACGCCAAACTCATCAAGCCACAAGCAAGTTTAAGAATGTTGTGTATCCCTAAAACACGGTTCTTTACCTGAAAAATGTCCCAAACAACGAGGGTGAGTAAACAAGTTACTCGTAGAAAATGAAAATGCTATAACCTAAAGTTTTGCAAGTCTTTATAAGTTGATATAAATCAATCCATGTGGTTCATGCCACCTAACGTCTATGTCCAAGGTGATAGTAAGGGATCGTTCTAAGCTACATTAGAACATCCACATTATAAATCACAATATATAAGCAATTAAACAATATTGAAATATCAAATGCCAAATAACAAAATATAAATTTACAAAGTAAACAACTTGGAATTTAAAATGCGAAATCAAACAAACGGAAACTTGGACGTCACGCCGGAATAAAACCGACACCAAGCATCATTTGGGTTACTAGCCTGTGGGTGCTTGCTCCTAAGTGTGCACTAAAAATAGAGGGCTCTCAAATCCCCCGTACTAGAGCTGAGCCCTAGCCATAGTCAATTTTACGACATCCTCAAGCTTCCAAAATCAACAAAGAGTGTACAACAAGTATATACATATATACTAAATGCACTTAATCAAATATCATACACAATCAAATTGTGAAAACATACAAGACATGCCATAGGTTCTCAACTACTATGGCATATAACTTAATAGGCCTTAAAAACATCAAAAGTGCAAATAAATCATAATTTCATTAAATGGAAACTAATTAAATAAAAATTAATTAATTTATCTAAATAGCAAAATATCACCAACTGACATGAAATTAACACATAATAAGTAACATAACATGAATAACTCAAATATCAAATCAAAAGTCTAATTAAGTTATTAAAACACTTAGTTAATTTTTAATTAACTTAATTAATTAAAAATCTCTCTATTTCAAAAGTTATCCAAAAATTTTAAAAATAATATATGATAAACAAACAAGTCATGGACTCTCCAAATATCATATTCTTAATTAAATTTAAGCATACTTCAACTATAAAATTAAATGATCATTTAATTAAAATAAAAACCATTTCTAGATCTAAACTTTAAACATACATATAAGTTATATAAACCTCAAAAATATGTAAAACACTTAGATTATAAACATGAAACACCCCCTACCTCACTTTGAGATGAAAATCTCAAATCACACCAAAATCAAACTCCACAAAATGCGATAAAATTTTGGTTATGACGGGGACAATAAGGAGAGCAAGAAATCCTCTAGTGACAAGACCTAAATCCAAGCTTGGACTCACACCCCAAAAATCAAAGTGCTGCAAATCGAAAACCGATCGGATAGAAATCACCGCGTCGTCGAGGAGATAAAAAAAGTCTAAATTGCGAAGAGCCGGATCAAAGAGGAAGTAAATGAAAAGAGGAGAGAGAGAAGGCAGCTCCAAGCTCCTCTAGTGGCGGCTGTAGCTGCTGCTTTTGGAGAGTGAAAAAGATGAAATGACTGTCTCTCTCATCCACCTACCCTAAATAGGTCAAAAAGGTGTCTCGAATAATCTGAACTGGCCCCGTCCGGGTCCAAAAAGTGAAATCTATGAAGACGCGCTCAAATGAAGATGGTCTGTGAACGAAAAAGTTTCGAAATGGAATTCTAAGATCATTGGAAGAAACGGGGTCAAAAACCGAGTCCCGAGCGAGGAGATATGCCTCGGACAAGTTTGACGACTAACGGGGTTCGAAAATTCATAATAAATGAAATAAAAATCCGAAAAATATTTTGGAAGTGCCAGAGTCAAGAAAAGGTGAAAATAAACCCCTCATGAAAGGTTGAACCGAAAATGAGAAATTATTCTGAATTTTTTTCAAAATTACACAAATGCCCCTCCACTAGGTAACTCAAAAAGTGAATTTCCCAAAAAGCCTAAAATGAAGTGGCATTCAAAAGATATATTTAAAAGAACTTTAAATACAAAATCTCATCAAAAGATAATTACGACAAACACCCCAAGTAAAGAAAACAATTTTCAAGAATCTTAGCATTTATATCCCTATGGGCAAAAGTAAACATCTAGCATGCTTTTTTTACAAAAGTAAGAATGTGCAATACATAGAAATCAAGTAAAATGGATGCATGCAAGGCCAGAATCAAATTCGAGCATGACCCGATAGGTTATGCAAAATGAAAAGACAGTGAAAAATGACGAAAAACGAAAACTCGGAAAAATAAATCAACGGAAAAAAAATATCCGTAAAATTTGAGAGAATGAAAAATAAGGAAAATGACTGGGTCATAATATAGGCTATTGTCAATTGGTATTGCATGTGCAAGAGGGATGGAGGGTCGTTAGATCACCTTCTGTTGCATTGTCCAGTGGCTCAGGATACTTGGGGCTACGCTTTTGGGGTTGTTTGGAGTCCATTGGGTAATGCCTTGGTCATCAAGACACGTGATAGAGGCTTGAAGAGGTTATACAGCGGGTTCCCAAACCCGTGTCTTTTGGATGGTGGCGCCCTAGTGTGTTTTGTGGTGCTTAAGGAGGGAGTGGAATAAGAGATGTGAGGAGACTCTTATCAGGGCGCTGAAATTCTCTATTATCAATTCTTTTTTTGTTGGGTCCTTGGGAGAAATTGTAAATCTCCGGGGGAGATAATTGATTTTTGGATAGTTTGAGAGGTTAGGGGCCATATTTGGTCCTTGTGTAGTTTTTATGGGATGCGTTCCCCATTTGAACGCTTTCTAAATTTTTTAAAAAAATGAATTATTTTAACATTATTTGCTAATGTATCATGGACATCACTACCTACTTTTTCATGGTTTGGTTTGATTAAATGCACATGATCAGTAATTTGTTTACGCTGATGTGGTGTTCCGAATGCCGTGTCACTAAAATGCAGACAAGAGGACAAGTTAAATACGCATGTCTTTGCTAATTTAAATATATAATTT